GAGTAGCTGCAGTAACAGAGGGTTATTTACTAGACAGAAAAATGGCCTCCCAAAGATGTTCAAACCCTAATCTCTAGAATCTGTGCATTTGTTACCTTGCATAGGAAAGAGAGTTTTGTACATAATGATTAAAGATTTTGAGATGAGAAGGTTAACTTGAAATACCAATAAGGGTCAATATAATCACAAGGGTCTATCAGACTATAATACATGCCACAAGGAAACTCCCTGTGTAGTTCTAAATAACCAAAAATGTCAATTTTTTTTATACAAAATCAGAGAACAGGGTTGGTACCAGTAGTAGGGGGAGGAAGTGGGGAAAAGAGTAGGAGGGTGAATGTGATAAAATATAGTATAGATATGTATGTAAACAGAAAAATGGTATCTGTTGAAACTATTCCAGGAATGGGGGGAGGAGGGGAAAAAGAGATGGTGGAAGGGGTGAATTAAAATATGATACATTTGATATATTATAAAAACTTTTGTAAATGCTGCAATGTACCCAGCACAATAATAAAAAAATTAAATAAATAAATAAAATAAAATAAAAAGAAACGTCACATTTGGATATGCAACAGGACTGCTCTGTGCATTCTGTCACATGGGATATTGAAGAGAAGTATATCCAAGGTTTCAGATTTTATAAAATAATTCTATAGGTTCATCAAAAAAATAAAAATAAAAAAAAGAGAGAGAGAGAGATCAGACAGAAAAGATGTTATGCTGCTGGTTTTAAAGGAGGGGGAAAGAAGCCATGAAGCAAAGAATGCCAAGTAAGCCTCTTAAAGTTAGAAAACCAATGGAAAGTACATTCTCCCCCTAAAGCTTCCAGAAGGGACACAACCTTGCACAGCCATTCTAGACTTCTAACTTCAGAACTGTAAGATAATAAATTTATATGGTTTTAAGACACTAACTTTATAGCGATGTGTTACAGCAGCAATAGGAAACTCTAACTTTATAGCGATGTGTTACTGCAGCAATAGGAAACTATCACATTTAGTTTTGTTTGTTTAGGTAAGAAAGACTTGAGCATGTTTTCATATTAAAGAAGGATAAAAAGTGCTAAAGACCAAGGAGAAAGTGATTCATATTTTTGACAGTAAAATTTATTAATATAAATGTTCAGATAAAAGTTCAAGTTATAACCCAGAAGTTCTCTCTGTGATTTATGACTTCAGCTGTACATTGATTTTTTATACTTTAAAACTAGCTGAATGATTAACAACTGAAGAGAGGAAATGGGATATAGAACAGAGTCATAAGAATTAGCCTTGGAGAGTGGATCCCCCTCTAGAGCCTCCAAGTACAGCCCTGCTGACCCTTGATTTCAGTCTCCTGATGCTGACTTCAGACTTCTGGCCTTCAGAACTGTGACAAAATTAAATGTCTGTTGTTTTGAACCACAAGGCAAAAAGAAAAGAATTAACCTTGGAAAGGAAAATGGCTCCTCCTTTCACTAAAATAGGAAGAAAAGAGAAGGGTAAGTTTCATATAGTAATAAATAAAAATATGAATTGAGGAGAATAAATTATTAATCCATATTTATTTCTGAGGATAACAGATACCATTTACTACTACCATGACTACTATACACTGTGCATCAAATACTTGTATAAATTGTCTCTCAAAATGCTGCAAGATAGAAACTGGGAAAAATACAGTTGGAAAGAAGGAAAAGTGCTAAAACTCTTAGAACTCAGAACCCACTCCATTTGACTCAAACACTGTATTGAGAAACTTGGCAGATATTACTGTGACCAAAGTTAATATTACTAATAGTAAGACACACCAGTATCATGTACCCTTTGATGAAATGCACTGTAAAGGACACATCACCTTCCTAGTATTCTTTCTAAAAATGCAACACTTTAGTCAAATCACAAGAAAACAAAAGATAAACAGATTGAGGGGTATTCTACAAAAAAAAAAAAAAAAAACAAGAACTACAGTACTGTTCAAAATTTCAAGGTTAAGAAATATAAAGGGAAAGGAAAGTCTGAGGAACTGTCACAGACTGAGGGAGACTAAAGGACATGGCAAATGCAGTGTGGAATCCTAGACTGAATCCTGGATAGAAAAAGAGGATGTTAATCAAAAATAACTTGTGAACTCGGGCTACTTAGTTAATAGTATTGCACTGAAATTAGTTTTTTAGTCTTGATATTGAACTATGTTTCAAAATTAAAAATTTAAACAAAACAGGCATTGTACTGCTCTGGAAAAAGTCACTTATCTATGGGTAGAGTACTGTAGTCTGTTCAAGATTCATTTACATAGCTTGAAAGTCTAGGTTCAGGTTCTGACTTGTAGTTAATAACAGTAAGAATGGCTTGAAAACTGGCTGGGTTCCTGTATGGCCTAGCATATCCTGATGCCTGAACTAGACTGGTGCCTTAACACTTGATCTCCGACTCCTGCCTTGTCCATATCAAACAAATCTAATCCCTGAGCCCAATTTCTAAAATGATACATTCAAGGAGAGAGCATCTAAGTGAGGAGAGGTGGGTAAATATAAAAGATACAGAATATCTCAGATCACTTCTCAGCCTTTTGGTTAAGATAAGTGCAGAATATACTAGATAAATCAGCAAAGTAATCTCAATATACTCTGTTATTAATAATCATTATCTTCTACATTTGTGAGCACATTTTCAGAAAATAATATATATTGGGCATGCAGTAGCATACCCAAAACTTAAAAATTCAACAGTAAACATTAATATGATACTCAGAGGCCATTTTTCCTGAAAAAGTACAAAACAGCATAAAAGCACAAAATTTCATAAAAGCACAAAAAAGTGAGCACCGCTTGTTCACTTCTCATTTATTCCACTAAAACAAATAGAAGTACTTAATAATATAATTTGCCTAGGAATGATTATTGGCAAAAGGTGATCAATTGCATAAAATATTTAGTAAATATTTATTCAGCCACTATTATGAACCAAGAATTGGATAAAGGTGCTAAAAAGACAGGAGTGATTTAACTTATTGTCAAATATTTTTACAGCTAATGCTATCCAACACTGAGACATATTTACCTATCATTCCTTTATACTAAGCTATGATCTAGATTAGCAAGGTTCAATAGAAAGATAACGCAATCCTTCATAAAAGTTTAAGTTTTTGTTGGGCACCAGTGGCTCATGCCTGCAATCCTAGCTACTCAGGAGGCAGAGATCAGGAGGATTACTGGGTAAATAGTTTGTGGCTCAAGGGGTAGGCCCTAAGCTCAAGCCCCAGTACTGAAAAAAATAATTCTAGCTACTAATTTCTTTAAAAAGTTAAAAAGACAAAATATTCATTGTAATAGGTTACTTAACCCATATTAAGAGACTATTTTTTGCAAATGTCTTCACACTTTACTATGTAGTATACACTTTTGACACTTCAATTTGGAATAGCCACATTTCAAATGCTCAACAGCCATATGTAGCTAGTTGCTACCCTACTGAACAGCACAAATCAAGATGTTGCTTATTAAGGAAGAAAATAAACTATGTTGCAGGGTTGAATTTTAATTCTGCTTTACTAATAAAATTCAACTATCTATTTTACTTGAAAATGAATATTTTCCTTTCTCTGAACTCTGTCTTTTCTTTGAACATATTCCAGAGAATATACTATTGCTGCTATGAGAATTAAAAATAAGAATAAGTTGGCTTTTTGATTGCTTTTAGTTGGAAAGGACATATGCTATCATACTCTCATAAAAATGAAATACATTTTTTTTAAAAACTAAACAGAGAAAAATATTAAGGGACATATACTATGTATAATTTTCAAGTGTTAATGAGATTCTGAAGTAAGACTAGAATATGACTAAAACATATAACCCAAAGGCTACACATCCAAAAACATACCTGGGACTCTTAAAAGTCAATCACATCACTTATATTTAAAACATTCAAATCCAGGTAAGAGTTAATAGGGGAAAATGAATTTTCAAAAGTTTTCTTTAAAGCAAATTTCCAAACACATTTATTTCCCTTTAAATGAGTAACTCTTCAGATTCATTCATTAAAGAACAGTTCATACTTGTGACAAATACTATATTTGAAACGTTACTGACCTTTTTTTTTAATTTGCTATATTTTACCCTTGGCCTAACTCTAAAGAAGAGTTAGTATGGAAAGTCAACATTTATAAAGAGTAAAAAACTCAAGGTGCCTTTATTTTAAAAGCACCATTTTCACTCACTCTTTTTCTAACACAATGCCTGGTACATGTTATTTTTGTAACAAATATTTATTGAATGAACACCAAAGTAACAGGCACTGAACATTAATACACCTAACACTGCGAAGTGAAATACTAGATAATGAGTTCTTTCAATTAGAAGGTTTTACTAGAGTCCATATAAAAACTGAAGCCAAGTTATAGTTAAGAAAATGCTGTTTATCGTGTATTCTCATTGAATACAACACTTCTGAGGCAGATATTATCACCCAATTTAATATATAAGGAAGATGAGGCCAAAAGTTGTTGAATCATATAATTTTTAAGTAGTGGAGCCAGAGCCAAGATTTCAATTATGTGTGTGTGTGTGTGTGTGTGTGTGTGTATGAGAGAGAGAGAGAGAGAGAAGAGAGAGAAAGAGAGAGAGAATGAGATCTGTGCGTATTATGAAAACTATGATGGGTATATTTTGCCTCTCTGTTTCCATTACAAGTTTTAGAAGAAACGTACACAACTGATAGTTTTCCAGTATCTTCTCTTCTTTTTTCTCTCTTCCCGTCTCCCCCACCCCACATTTAAAGAAACGCGTATCTAGTTAAACTACAACATAAATAAGCACTGTTGATGAGAATTTAAAGACACCTAACAAAAAGGCTTGTCTCCAGTCCCTTCCTCCCAAGACGAGTCAAACTGGGAGGGAGCGCATCCCCAGAGGCCGGGCGGAGACTACGGCAGGCGCAGGGAGAAGGCGGTGCGGGTCCCGGCCCGGGGCGCAGCTATCCCACCCCGACAGCGCCCGGACAGCCGCTCCAGCCTACCTGACAGGCTCCCGCCACCGCTTGAACCAGCTGCAGCAATTGGCCATCAGACTGAACATCCCAGGTCGCTCCACCCGTCACCTCCCATCCGAGCCTGAGGCGGGGAGGGGCCCCTAGCCTTCGGAGCTGACCTCAGTGCCCCCGCCCGCCCCAAAGCGACCGTAAGGCGAATAGGCCCAGAAGACGGGGTGGGAAGGAGCTGAAGGAGACCAGTCCGAGCACCAAGCCCCTCCAACCGCGTGGGCCCGCGAGCTGGCTGGTCACCACTGCCCTCCTCCCACAGGGACAGTGGGACCAAAGGGGCAGATTCACCGCAAAGGCGTTAGCCAGACTCGGCCAAAGAAAACCCCCGCGTCGACGTGCTGACGTTTCTCCGAGGCTCTGAAGACCCTCCCCCCTAGTACCGCCCATATTGAGCTTCTCCAATCATCGATTGAGGACCTGCGTTGGGCCCCTCTGAGTGGCTGAAGGGGCCTGGCCCCGCCTCTTGTGGCCAGGGAAAAGGCAGACGTCTAGAAAAAGGAGGTGGAGCTAGGGAAAGATGGCTCTTGTAACTAGGCAACCAGAGCGTCCAGCGATAAAATGAGGGATCCGGATAGAGCTCAGGCAAGCCTGTTTTTATACCCATGCAAAATGTGTTACCTGTCGAGGATATTGTTTCCCATCTGTCCCTAGTACCTCCAGCTGAGACCCGGAGATCTCCCGTCTCGTGGGTGGATTTTGTTTTGTTTTTGTTGTATAGTAGGGATAGGGATCCTCTAGGGTTCTGGCAGACTCAGGCTTCAAAATTCAGGAGCAATACCCTGAGGCAATAATAAATTAAAGACAAAGTTATCACAATAGTTCAAGTGAGAGTGATATTTGGCTCTATATAGATTATAGCTATTTGTTATGTAAAATATGAAATGTAATTATATTTATTTGATTACAAAAGAAATATATGTTCATTTTAGAAATTGTGAAAAGAGCACGAAAAAAGGAACAATATGAAGAAAATTATATTTCACACTCACCTCTCAAAGATATCCAGTGTTAAGATTTTGATGTGTGTTCTTTCCTGGATTTTTAGATACATAGATTGATTGCTGTTTGATTCCTGCATTTTGAGGTTGTGATATACTGGCTCTCTTAATATTTTATTTTATTAAACTTTTTTTGGTGGTACTGGGATTTGAACTCAGGGCCTCATGCTTGCTAGCAGGCATTCTGCCACTTGAGCCATTCTGCCAGCCCAATATTTTATTTTTAAAGAAGTATACAATATCTGAATTTCTAATATATCCTGGGAAAAGAGAAATGAGAAATACATAACAAAACTGCATGCATGATATGTAGAGGTGTGTGCATTCATTAGGTTTCCAATTAAATATATAGTTTCAAATTCTGGTAAAAAGGAAAGAGCACTGTGAATCCCAAGGTATTCAGGGAAGTCATGGTTTGGGACTTAGATCTAAGTTTTAAATTATTCTCCACACTTTACTAACTTATCTCATGAGCTTAATGTCTCTGAATCTCTGCACCCATCTGTAAAATTTTTAATGAAACTATGTAGTTTGAGAGCTGGAGGTATGACTCAAGCGGTAGAACACATGGCCCTGAATTCAAGCACCAGTACCACCACCAAAAAAAAAAGCTACTTTGCAGAGTTAGTAAGATAATAAATTAGAAAAATACAGCTCAGTAGCAATTACTAATAAACATTTATGGCATGTTATATCCTCCTACCTCACATGTGGTGAGTTATGAGAGGGCATGGTGGGATAAGTAAAAAATTCTCCCATACCTATAAGCCATATTAGTAATATTTCTGCTAACTCTACTTTATTACCCAGTTTCTACAACTGGTATTTTGCAAGCTTTAAAAAGCTCTATTGTTGATATTTACTCTTTTATCCATTTCCTGTGATGGGACTTCAGTCCCAACAAAACATACTCTTTATATATAATTTATGATTTCTTCATTACCAGACCTTTTGTATCATTTAATAAATTTAATGTAATAAAACTCTTCTAAAACTCTGCCTTGGCCTTAGCCTTTGTCTGTTATGCTCTAGTCTGGTTCTATTCTTATCTTCCTGGCCTTTCTTCCTCTGACTTCCCATATGTATTCTCTAAGATCTGACTATATCCGTCTACTCCTTTAAAGACATATTCTTTTGGAGAATTCAATTATTACTTCTGTGACTGAAGGTTCTACTTATGTGGGTGTTCCTTGAGAATTTATGCAACCATACTCAACACCATTTTTTCCAAAAATATATAATCAACATTAGCTCTAATTCATAGCTTCCCCAATTGTGATAGTGATATATTTCTAGTGTCAACAGCCACTCATTGAATTAAGTTGACTTTTAGTATTTCAATACTCTAAGTGGTTTTATATGCATAATAGCTTTTCCACATTTCTAGTACTGGGAATTTAAACTCAGAGTTTCACACATGCTAGGCAAGTGTTCTACAACTTGAGCCACACACCCAGTCCTTTTGTGTTTTAGTTATCTTTGAGATATGGGCTCTCATTTTTGCCAAGGCTGGCCTGGAACTGAGATCCTCCTGATCTCCATCTCCTCAGTAGCTCGCATTATAGACATGAGCCACTAATGCCAGCCTATTTCTCTTTTCTTAAGGCACATGAGATACTTTCCCCACCCTCTGGAATTAGACATGCCATGTGATTTGCTCTGTACAATGAAATGTGAGTAGTGTATACTTTTTGGTGAAAACATTTAAGAGCTGGTGCACAGTTCTCCATGTTCTTTCTTCCCTTGTAATGATAGTTGTGAGAGCCTATGTTGACTCTGACATGCTATAAAATAGAAATAGTATGGCATGCTGAGCCAACATATGGAAGACACCTGCTTGGAAAATCATGTAGTCTTAGATTTCCCATGAACAACCACTGAATTATTATAATTTTGTGACTATTTCATCATGGCACAATCTAATTTACTATGAATGATGAAAATAGGCTGGCTGCTACCATTCTAATCAAGATTCTTATGTTTGAGATGTAGGTCAGTGATACAAAATTCACCTAAGCATATTCAAAGCCCTAGGTTCAATTTACAGCACTGCAAACAAATAAACAAAATAATATGAAACAAAACATCAAGACTCTCATTTCATGATCACTGTTGGTAATTTGGAATAATTTTTGACACTCAAATTACTAAATTTAAATTGAATGGTTTTGAACCAGTTGCTATTTTAGCCTCTAGAGATATAGTTGTGAAAAAAAGCATAAAAAAATTCCTGACCTTATGAATCTTAAAATCTACTGGTGGGGAAGGATGATAAGGTGAATAACAAACATAATAAGTGGATTAGACAATTTATTAGTTGAAGATAATGTGGAAAAATGTAAAATGGGTAAGGGAATAAGAATAGAATTAGGATGGGATTAGATGAAAAGTTAAATTTTGGGCAGGTTTTGGTTGTGTATTTAGAATTGTACCAAAATCAGTGGAATGAGATTGACCAAAGTGTTAATATTAACCTAGAACCAAATATCATCATAGTGTGAAAATCTGACATAAATTAAAAGCTTGAAACTTTTATCTAAAAGTGTATTATTGAATTTTATTATTAAGCATCTCAGATGATTTTTCAAATTTTGATAGTACATCATATGACACAGAGTTTAGCATTGACATTGACACTGTGATGCACACTTGTGAGACTAAAACGATAGTCACTTTCAACTGAAGTTTTTGGTGGAGCAAGATTTCTTTCTTGTTCTTTTTCTTTTGGGTACCTCATGTTTCTTTTAACATTCCCTTCTTCCTTCTCTTTATCTTTTTTATATTTGTATTGGAGGTGCTTTATTATGAATGTTGCAATTCACAATTTTGGACATGTTCCCTTTTTGAAAATTTTTGAGGTACCAAAGTTGATAATCATTCAGATCATCCTCAGAAGATAAGGAGATTCCCCAAAGTGGCTTTTATCTGAAGACTCAGGACCTACATTGAATTTTAAATACAGTACTTAAAAATTATTTTGTTTATTACAATTCAAGCTATTCTTTATAGATTAAACATATATTTACATTTGAATCACTTGGAGCTGAGAATCAGAGGAACCAAGAAGAAAGAAAATTTCAAACAGGGAAGGGTCACAGATATACTGAAAAATTCTTTTTTCTCTAAGTTGAAAGGTTTAGAATATGCCATACACCAACTATGCCACTTGGGCATATGGGATATTTTGAGATAAAGGCAATGAAAAACCAGCAGAAGCAGAGGAATCTCCTTACTTCCCCCTTAACTACCTAAAATAAAGTATTAATTTCCTCTTTTTAAAGGAAATTGTGTTAGCCAGCTTTCTCACCATGGCAAAATACCTGAGAAAAATCAGCCTAAAAAAAAAAAAGGAAAAGTTTATTTCTGTTCATGTTTCAGAGGTTTCAGTCCATGGATACTTGGCCCTGATACTTTGGGCCTGTTATGGCAAAGTACATCATGGTGATGGGATTGTTTTCTGGAAGAAAGGCATTGAGTGCTGGAAAAAAGCTGCTCATTTCATGGCTGCTGGAAAGCCAAGGAAAACTTCAGAGAAGAGACAAGAATTTCAGTATCTGCTTCAAGGCCCCAGTGACTTTCCACTAGAACTACTTCCTCAAGGTTCCACCACCAGCAGCACCATGGGCTGGGCACCTAGCCTTTAAAGTGTGAGTCTTTGGGAGACACTCCAGATCCAAAGTATAATAGAAATTTACATTTATAAAGGAAGTCTCTGTTAGTAAAGAATCTACTGTCCCAGGAAGAGAGATACTCCTAGAGACAACTTCCATTACCTTAGATACTCTCACCTGCAGAACAAGGCAACACTTTTTTTTTTTCTTCAGTACTGGGGTTTGAACTCATGGCCTACACCTTGAGCCACTCCTCCAGCCCTTTTTTGTGAATATAGGGTCTTGCAAACTATTTGCCTGGGCTGGCCTCCTGATCTCTGCTTCCTGAGTAGCTAGGATTGCCACCAGCACCAGGTTTTTGAGATTTGCTTTTTATTTATTTTTTTGGTGGGACTGGGGTTTGAACTCAGGACTTCAGACAGACACTTCTTGACCTTACTTTCCTAACCCCTACCTTCCCCTAATTTGCCTGCTTTCTCCCAAAGCCTCAAACTCCTATTCCTTTAAATAGTTCAGGATGATAAATGTCCCTCGTAAGTCTATCGTAAGTCAATTTAATTCTAGGCAGAGCATAGCAGATGATACTACTGAGGCTTGGAATGGCAGGAAGTGGCAAGTGTATGTATTGCAATCTTAACTCAGGTAGGTTAGCGCCAGAGGCAGACTAAAGGTAGTGTGCAAAGAACAAGCTGTTCGAAGGTGATGTGATTTGATACATTCTTTTGTTTCTTAAGTTTTTAAAATTTCTTTTATTCATATGTGCATACAATGTTTGGGTCATTTCTGATACATTATGGGTTTTGTTTTGTTTTGTTTTGCAAAACATTGTTTTTGTTTTTTTACCACAAATACCATATCTAACCAAAAATGTAGATGATCCAAAGGATCCCATTTTCTCCCATTATTTCTATTCTCTACATTCTTCCTGAAGTCCTCATTTAGCTTCTAGGTTTTGGTTATATCCTCCTTGCCAACTCAGTCTCTCAACTCTTTCTAACTGTGGAGATCCTAACCTCTGAGTCCTGAAAGTTCTCCTGACCACTCAATCCCCCGGCCCAGCTCGCTGGAGGTCTTTCTGAGCCCTCTCCCCTCTCCCCTCCCTCTTTGGAAACTTCACATTCCGGAGAAAGGAAAGACAGGACTTTGGGGATTTGAGAGGAAGGACCTGTCCGCATTTACTAGGCCTCTGACACACTCCCTCTCTCTCTCTCTCCGAGCCCTTCCCCCAGCTCCGAGGAGCTTCCTGGAAATGTCCTCGTTATCACTTCCCCCCGGCGGCTGGGGGCTGGGAGCGGGCGGTCCCCTCCGCCCCCGGCTGCTCGGCCAGCGCTCGGGCTCCCAGGCGCCGCGGCGGCGCAGTGCTGGCTGAGCCGAGTCCCGACTCGCAGCTGCGCGAGCGCCGCGCGCTCAGGTCCTGGCCGCGCCGCGCCACCGTCCCCGCCCGCGCCTCCGCGTGCTTTGCAATGAGGGTCCTGGCTGTGCGCTGCGGGGCGCTGCTGGCGTGCCTCGCCCTGGTGCTTCCCGTCTCAGAGGCAAACTGTGAGTAGTCCTAGCTTCTTGTCTTACCCTCTCCCCAGCACGGCCAAACGAACTATGTGCCCTGGTTGGCATAGGATTTTCTCCAAGGCTGCAGCCTCCTAGAAAGTTTCCCTTGAGTCCTGACAGCCACTCAGCCATCAGGAGCAGCTGTGGAGGCAGTGAAATGGTGGGGTAGGATCAATATTTGCCCGGCTTTGGAAGTCATGTGTTGCCTATGGGACTGATGCAAGAACTTGAGTGACACTAAGTATCAATGAAGGAATTAGAACATTTACGCAGTGCTCCAACCCCGCAACTGAAATTCCAATCAGAGAACAAGGATGCACACATTCCAGTATATGAGTAGGGAAGCAGAGTCAACCCCTGTGTCCTCTCTTTGTACACAGCCTGTCTCCAACCTGCTCCCCCTCCTGCAACTAACATTTCTTTTGCAATTTCTGGACTTTGAGCTTGGGTTGCTTGTCTCACATTGACAAACTGTTTCAGGATAACGGACGTTTTGAGTAGCAGTAGGCAGATGTCATTTTCTAACCTTGAAATAAAAATGACTGTTAAATATTATTTTGTACTGAGGATCATTTTGTGCTGAGGATTTTCGACACTGCGTGCCACTGATCTGAAGTGGTGACATGAATTCTTTGCACCTTATCTTTGGAGTTCCTGTTCTTTATGTTCCAGTACTCAGATCTAGGCATCATATTGTTTTCTTCAGAAAAGATTTATAAGGCGTATCAAGGCTTTTGGTACATTTTAGTTGTCAGTTTAGTTTCTATGTCAGTTTAGTCTACGTTTAGTTTCATATGTTTAAATACGTTCATGATTAAGAATGCTTTCTTGTGCTATTTTATTTTCAGGAATTGGCACACGAGCAATAACTGAATTTACAAATAATGTTTAGGCTGCTTAGAGCTCCAAAGCAAACTTTTCAAAGACAGTATTAAGTAGTAATTTACTAAAATTCCAACAGTTTTTATTAATTAGTGATCAGGATGTATGTAGAAAATTTAAAGTCTAAAACATTACTTGTTGAACTTATATATTAAAGAGTTACAATTACAAATCTCCAAGAGATTTGTTCTATAACCAAGCCTATATTACACGTGCTAATTCAGTATCTATATAATTCATTAGGACAATCAAATATTTCTGATAACTGGTGTTTTGGAGAAGAGAAGAGTGAAAAGATGGCTTACTACATTTATCCAAAAAATGTTCTTGGCCCTTTCTTCTTGTACACATTTTTTTGTCTGAATCTGGGCAGAGGTAAAAATTATGTGTGTATGCTATCTATGTATATATTATACATACATATGTAATATGTGAAGAATCACAATTGTCACATGTAGACACTGATAGAGTAGATAAATTAATTCTACTAGTGTCTCTCATAAAGAATAGTTGGCCCCATAATGGCCATTTAAAAATTTTTGGCTTCTTAATTGGATTACAAATCATCTTTGGTTTACTGATGAGGAAATTTAGATACAGATGGGATGCTTTCACTCTCTAAGTCTTCTTTTGTTTTTGTTTTGGGTTTTTATTGTGGTGTTGGCGATTGAACGCAGAGCTTCATGCATGCTAGGCAAGTGCTCTACTTCTGAACTACAGCCCTAGTCTCCCAGCTCTATAGGATTTTAAATTTGAGATATAATTAGAATTCTGAACACTATATTTATAATTCATTCTGTAGCCCATAGAATATTGTTGCTATTTAAAGAAAAATGTTTACAAATAACAGATTTTTTAAGAGAAGTTGTGGCAATCATGTGACTCAACTTCTTCATTTTAATAAGTAATGCAATTATTCAAGAGATATTAACTTCCCAGGTAATATATATATATATATATATATATTATATATATATATACACACACACACATATATATATATATATATATATTAAATGATATGGTGGTACATTTATTTGTGTAAGAGAGAACATATACATGTATATTTGAAATATATACTGTCTACATATTTAAATCATTTCTCATAGAGGGCTTGTGCCAAAAGGGAAGTGGGAATAAGAGTATATCTATTTTGGCTAGGCTTAATTTGGCCTTATACAGACTTCCCCTTTGGTTGGATGTGGTCTATCTTGCACATTACTGACACATAATTTCTTTTTTTTATTATTCATTTATTCACATGTGCATACATTGTTTGAGTCATTTTTCCCTCCTGCTCCCGCCCCCACCCTCTCTCCCCCTCCCTGCAGAACCTGTTCTGTGCTTTTCTCCAGTTCTGTTGAAGAGTAGAAATAAGCAATAATAAGAAAGACATAGCATTTTTGCTAATTGAGATAAGGATAGTTATACAGAGAGATTCCTAGCATTGCTGTCATGTACAAATGTAGTACAACCCAGGTTGATTCATCTCTAACTGATCTTTACACTGGTTCCTGATCCCCTTCTTGTGTTGACCTCTGTCGCTTTAAGTTTTCTGTATTAAGAGTGGGAGAAAATATTTGCCAACTATACATCAGACAAAGGACTGATAACCAGAATATATAGGGAACTTAAAAAACTAAATTCTCCCAAAACTAATGAACCAATAAAGAAATGGGCAAGTGAACTAAACAGAACTTTCTCAAAAGAAGAAATTCAAATGGTCAAAAAGCACATGAAAAAATGCTCACCATCTCTAGCAATAAAGGAAATGCAAATTAAAACCACACTAAGATTCCACCTCACACCTGTTAGAATAGCCATCATTAGCAACACCACCAACAACAGGTGTTGTCGAGGATGTGGGGGAAAAAGGAACCCTCTTATACTGTTGGTGGGAATGTAAACTAGTACAACCACTTTGGAAATAAATTTGGAGGCTACTTAAAAAGCTAAACATTAATCTACCATTTGATCCAGCAATACCACTCTTGGGGATATACCAAAAGACTGTGACACAGATTACTCCAGAGGCACCTGCACACCCATGTTTATTGCGGCACTATTTACAATAGCCAAGTTATGGAAACAGTCAAGATGCCCCACCACTGACGAATGGATCAAGAAAATGTGGTATCTATACACAATGGAATTTTATGCAGCCATGAAGAAGAACGAAATGTTATCATTCGCTGGTAAATGGATGGAATTGGAGAACATCATTCTGAGTGAGGTTAGCCTGGCCCAAAAGACCAAATATCGTATGTTCTCCCTCATATGTGGACATTAGATCAAGGGCAAACACAACAAGGGGATTGGACTATGAGCACATGATAAAAGCGAGAGCACACAAGGAAGGGGTGAGGATAGGTAAGACACCTAAAAAACGAGCTAGAATTTGTTGCCCTTAACGCAGAGAAACTAAAGCAGATACCTTAAAAGCAACTGAGGCCAATAGGAAAAGGGGACCAGGAACTAGAGAAAAGGTTAGATCAAAAAGAATTAACCTAGAAGGTAACACACACGCACAGGAAATCAATGTGAGTCAATGCCCTGTATAGCTATCCTTATCTCAACCAGCAAAAACCCTTGTTCCTTCCTATTATTGCTTATTCTCTCTCTACAACAAAATTAGAAATAAGGGCAAAATACTTTCTGCTGGGTATTGAGGGGGTGGGGGGGAGAGGGAGAGGGTGGTAAGGGAGGGGGTGGGGGCAGGGGGGAGAAATGACCCAAGCCTTGTATGCACATATGAATAATAAAATTTTAAAAAATATTAAACTGCTTTACAATTTGTAATATAAAAAAAAAAGTTTTCTGTATTAATTCCTCTGGAGTGGGGACATCAAATGCTTTCATGTTGTGGGTTTTCTATATAACCCTGTACCTCCCGTATATGTTCTCCCCTTGTCATGCAACCCAAGTTGTACAACATTGCTGTATTTGCCCTTGATCTAAAGACGGCATATGAGGGAGAACATACAATTTTTGGTCTTCTGAGTCTGGCTAACCTCGTTCAGAATGATGTTCTCCAGTTCCATCCATTTACTTGCAAATGATAAGATTTCATTCTTCTTCATGGCTGAGTAAAGTTCCATTGTGTATAAATACCACATTTTCTTAATCCATTCGTCAGTGGTGGGGCATCTTGGCTGTTTCCATAACTTTGCTATTGTGAATAGCGCTGCAATAAACATGGGTGTGCAGGTGCCTCTGGAGTAACCTGTGACTGATACATATTTTTCTTCTCTTTTTGTTCTCGCTTCTATCCTTTAACTATCCTATTCGCTATTTATGTACCCTCGTGTTCTTAAGTTTTCTTTACTTCAAAGGGCAAAATATTGATAGAGATTTTATCAAGGTTAACTTACAGTTGAGGTTTGAGCTGTAAGAGTTAAGAGACAGTTTCTGATATAGTAATGACAATAATAAACCCTACATAGGCCAGATGATGTGGCTCGCAGCTGTAATCCTAGCTACTCAGAAAGTGGAGGTCAGGAGGGTGGAGGTCAGGAGGGTGGAGGTTTGAGGCCAGTTCATGAGACCGTCATCTCAACCAATAAAAAGCTGGGCATGGTGGCAAGGGCTATGGTCCCAACTATGAGGGAATTTGGAAGGGTAAATAGGATCGTGGTCCATGCCAGCCCAGATATAAACATGAGACCCTATACCAAAAATAACTAAAGCAAAAAGGGCTGGGGCATGACTCAAGTCATACAGCACCTTCCTACTTAGCTCAAGGCCCTTGCTAGAGAACACAGTAATGCTCTTCATAATAGACATTTTCTGTTCACCAAGTTTAATATCCTTTTTGTAGCTTAAATAATTAAATATTTAAACATTCAAACATTATGAGACACCTAATAACATATCTATCAGTGTTCTTTATCTATCAGTAATAATAATGAATTCTTGCCAAATAGAGGAAGGAAGGAATGTATTAGTCAACATTCTGTCACTGTGAAAAAAATACCAAAGAAAATCATCTCAAAGAAGGAAAGGTTTATTTTGGCTCACAGTTTCAGTACCTTCAGTCCAGGGTTGCTTGACTCGGTTGTTTCTGGCCAAGTGGTGAGACAGAACATCAAGACAATAGCAGTGGCAGACCAGAA